GATTTTGTGTTGTGTGTAGGTTCTTGCTTTTGAGGCAATTCTTGTTCTTAAGGAATTTTTTTGAGAAGGTGTTAGTAATGCACATGCACACCGTGATAGGCTTTGATGTCTATCAGAACAGAAGACCAACTCAGTACAATCTGGTATAACTTATTTCAATTTACTGAAAAAACAAGTCCAACTTGCATTATTCTCACTATCAACTACACTAAATGCAATAGGATAATGGTGGTGATCCGGATCTTGAGCTGAAGCCATGATTAGTACTCCACCATATACATTTTTAATACTGGTTGCATCCACAATGATCACCTTTCTCATGGAATCGAAGCCTTTAATGCACGCCCCCAAGGCGAAGAACAAATATTTAAACCTCTGGGCTTCATCCAATTCGACAAATGAAACTGTACCTGGATTCATCTTCTCCAACATGTGCAATTAACAATAAACCAACTTATAACTATCCTCTGCGGCACCACGAAGGTCTGCTGCATCTAGCTTTTTCCCTCTATTTGCGGTTGAGTATGACACTTTGATACCAACTTTTGATTGAACCAAAGGGATGAGATTTTTTGGAGTTGGAGTGTCTATCAGACATGGGAAATCTTCACGCAAAACAGAAGCAATTAAATGAGATGTGCCTCTCCTTTTTTACTCATTGTACTTGTTTCTGACCGTAAGCATGTATGTATCTTAGTGTAAGTTCTGACCGAGAAACTGTCTGCATTCCATTCCTTGCTGCTCGTAAAGCCCACTTGCATTTAAGCACAAACAACATAGGATCCGACTTTAGTATAACAAACTCAAAACAGTCCATATGCGCAACTTTTTCAACTAAATCTTTAATTGCTTGCTTGCTTGCTTACAAATTCTTGTCGGATAGTCACATCCAAACCATCTTCCCACTCACGGTTTACAACCGGTGTAATCTCTGCAGCAGGTGGTTTCTCGGATGGTGTGATCTCAGAAGGTGTTATCTCAACAACATTTGTGCCATCTTCTACTATTGCTCGTTCTTCGGATTGTTCTTCATAACGAATCATGTTCCCATCTCTCCCATCACTATTTTCCACCATCTCATGACGTTCAAACGGCTCGATTTCGTCAAAGAACATGGTCCCACCTGTCGCTCTACTACTTGAAATATGCTCCTCATTGAGTGAACAACCTACACTTTCTCGACTCTTCTCATACCCCTGATTTACGACTTCGACATGCAAAACTTCGAAATGATCTTCATTCATATCCATATAACACATAACATCATCTTCATCAAATATGTATATTGGTCTCTTAGGCTCCACTGATTTGGGAACGTAACTCAATTTCAGCTCAGTCGTTGTTTCATCAACATTCGCCTTCCGACATATCTTGTTCACCATTTTAAGAGATTGATGAACTTTATCTCTTGAATTCCATCTTGGTTCATTTTCTCTTGTTGCATAATATCCCCCATAATCATATATTATGATTTTTTGATGGTTTTTATTCATTGTGCCCTGAAATAGAATAGGAAAACTAACATTATAATCTCTGTCGTGTTCATAGTTATACCAAGTTATACCAAAGAGTACCATTTGTAATACTAGTTTTACCATTATAGTTATCCCAAGTTGTTCCCGAATAGTTATACCAACTTCTACCAGTTGTACTACAACGTATCACTACTAATTTTCGAATACATTCCTACGATTCAATTCGATTGAACTGTTACAATGCACACTTAATGAAAAATAGTCGACCCAATTCGACTCATATCCCTAATTGACAATGAGGATAAGAAAAATCGGATCAAATCCAAATCTACAATGAGAATAGTTCAATAGGGATGAACAAATACAATCCACAACAACTCCACTTCATGCCAACAAGTTATGAATTTAACAACGGGTATGAATAAGTGTATTACCTCAGTTGTTGGATTGCTTCTCGTGTTCATGAGAGAGACGATGGAGTTTAATGGAGGAGGAGCTCGTCGATTAAGCTATGGAGGATTGGGTTGAAGGACATCGTGGTTGAAGGAGAGAGAAGATGAAGATTTTCGAGTGGGGTCCATGTCCATTTTTCTTTTTCTTTTTTTGTTTAAATTAAATCAAATAATAAGAGGGGCAAAATATATCCTTATTTAAGTCAAGATATGGTCAAAGGGTAGTTAGAACATAGGAGGGTATGAAAGTATAAAGACTTCAGTCAAAGGGCGTGAGAGATTTTGGTCCTTGTTTTTGTTGTTTAGTTTCACCAATTATTCCTGTTTAGTCATATTTATTTGTCCTTTTATTCTCTAAATCCAAACATTTTTGGCTTAATGGAAATGATAATATCTCTTCCCTCCCACGACTATGGGATTTCTGTTTTCTCAAGACTAAGTTTCTGCAAAGTTTGTGGCTTGGTAATTTTTATTCGTTATTTTTCTGTAGAAGTTGTCGATGCCTACTTCTTCCGATCAGAGAGGAAACAAAGTGTGTTTCGACGAACAGGTTAACATTTTTTAATCAAGCTAATATTGCGGTTACTGGTTATTTTCAGATTTACCGCCTACCACTTTTCTTACCGAATAAACTGCCGTCCATATTAAAGGTAGCCCCTGTGGTGCCAGGGAGTAGGAGTAAAAGTCTGAGGAAAGTTTCAAAGAAGTTGGATGGTCCTTTTCAGTACGACAAGAAGACTAAATTATTGGTGGGACACCCTTCACCGGCTGATAAGGATCCAAGTCATGTTGATCCTCATGAACGTTTCCAAAACTCAATGAAAAAGCTGAAGGGGGCTAGGTAACCCAGTTTGATTTTTGCATTTTAAAATAGTCATATATACGTTGGCATTCTTAACACTGTTTTACCAATATGGGAATGTCCTTTTTCTTGTTGCTTTGGAAGATCGGTAAACCTTGGTGGGGAAGCTTTTCTATCGAACAAAGATGTTTTTGATATCATAGAACGGAAAAAACACCTCCCAGCCAAGGTTAGGTTGTTATTCATTTGCTTAACTATTTCTTGATCTACCTGAAAGCTAATTTGTTTACATTCTTTGATCTCCACCGAAACACTCATTTGCTTAAATCTTCTTGATCAAATCATGGATGCTTTGATAAAGTTTAGCCGCCATTTATTACGGACTGAGGACCTAGATGGGCAAAAACTGCATGTAGACTTGCTTGACTCGAAGTTTGTTTCCTCGTTGTTTCGACTATTTCCAAGGTTTACGCAAGTGCATTGGCAACTATAAATTTCCGGATGATGTTGTTGCACAACTACTAGGTGCTGGAGACAGTGGACGTGCAGTGCTTTTCACGGAAGTTGACTTTCTATATGCCCCCTTCAATTTTGATCAAAAGCTCTGGGTGTCACTATGCATTGACCTCTGCAGTTGCCGCATTTTTGTTCTCGATTGCAATATCCTACTAAGGAAAGACTATGAAATTTCCGTTGAACTTCAGCCCTTTTCTGTAATGCTTCCGTATCTTCTCATACAGGCCGGGGTTGAGTATGGAAAAAGGAAGAGGTTAAGAGATCCTTTCACCATTTTCAGGCCATCTACGATGCCGCAGGTTCAGTGTCCTTCAGATTCTGGCATTATGTCCATTTTTTTAATACATGCACATGCCACTGGTGGTTTGAAGGAGTGTGCTGATTTGAAGGTCGAGCAACTTGACCCCGAGTTGAAGAAATTTATATCTGCTATTATCCTCGCTGGGGTTGACTAATATTGTTTGTTACATGTTCGCCCTTGTGTTCCATAAATTTTTACTTATCCGATGTATTATTTTTTTACTTTTACCAATCTCGAGACAAACGGTTTTCTATTTTAGTTATGAGTTCTCACCATATAATGTTTCATCACTATATATAAACCGAATTAATCATGAAACCTGAATGTTAACATTGTCTACTTAAGTCTGAACCGAGCCTTTACTGGATAAGCTTTACTTTATATGACCCACATATTGTTAGCAAGATACAAATAACATTATCTAGATAATTTAATTATTAATATTTAGTTAAAGTGATATCAATTAAGATATATATTTAAGTTCCTGCATAATATATATATATACGGTTTTATTCTTAATCAAACTTACGGATAAAATGTAACTTAGCGTGATAACAGATAATATAACACGTTTTAAAAATAGTTCTTGAATGCTTTCAATCAACGATGAATAATGTTATGTAACTAAAGGATTTTATTATTCAGTTTGGGTTCACATTAATGAGGTTAGGTTTTAGATTTCTGTAGTTAAGTGTACGGTAGATTTTGTAGTGGTTATAGCTTATAATTTGTAATTATATGATGTTATTTTTCAGTTTGGGTTGACACTACTGTTGGTAGGGGTTATATTTCTGTAGTTAAGTGAGTTTATATTTAGGTTTGGCTTGACCGAGCAGTGGGTAAGGTTTAGCGTTTGTAATTAGTCGAACTTATTTATTGGTTTGGTTAGGTTTAAGATTTCTGTAATTAAGTGTACGGTAGATTTAGTAGTGGATAGAGTTTATAATTTGTAATTATATGAAATTATTTTTCTGTTTGGGTTGACAAATTTTTGTTAGGATTTAGATATATGTTATTAAGTTAATTTATATTTACGTTTGGGTTGACCACATAGTGGGTAGGGTTTAGCGTTTGTAATTAGTCCAACTTATATATTGGTTTCGGTTGATATAAAAGTGGATAGGGCTTAGTTTATTTTGACTTGGAAACACGTAGTCAAAATAGATAATTGGAAACAGTTTGGATATTATGTAACTAACTGCGATAACATATTCTCTAACACATTTTAGAAATAATTATCGAATGCTTGCAATCAACCATGAAGAATGGTTACGAATTAATTATAGTTATTCTTATGTTACAGTTTAGCTTTTATAATGAATCAAAATTATTTTGTTATTTGGAATATACAAAGAAAATTACTGTTACCACCGTCTTCCCTTCATCCGTTGTTGCTACATAACTAAAAACACGTTGCTTGGTCTACCTGTCGCCAAAAAACTTTATTGGTCCACCTATGGTCCCTGTTTTCGGCATAGTTAGTAATATGATCTACAACTTTCACATAAAATGATGACTCAATTATTGTTACCTGAACCGGACCCCGGCACGTTGCCCTGTTGTGACCAAGTGAACGACATCTCGTGCATCTTCTCCGGGTTGTTATCTGTTTATAGTTACAGGATTAAACAGAAGTTATTGTATATCCTACTTATTTTCTGATAACAGCCATTTTAACGAAGTTTACTTACCCTTATTTCTCCACGTGAGAATAAACGTCTCTTCCTCGGGCGCCCAGGCGGCATCCTCACAAAGGGAGGGGCTAACTTTCCACCACCTACATCACTGGGGGAAGGTGCGAGAGTTGCCATGTCGAGGACTGGCATTATCATGTCCGCATAAGCGAACCTTAGATTTGGCACAGTATGCGACACTCCCAGTAAAGTGTCCACCCTTACCCCTTCTTTAATTACAGCGGCAATGGCATAGGAACCTGGTATCGTCAGTATCTGGAACTCGCGACAAGAGCAAGTTCTCTCCCAAAGGTTTACCACTGAAAGAACCCATCCCATTTTTTTTTATATATCATGCAAACCGGATTAACCCATCTTAAACTCAAAGCATCTAAACCAGCTAAACCGGCTCTAATCAAATTAAATCAATTAAACCAAGCAATCTCATTAAAGCAAATCATCAACCTTAACCAGTGGAAGACTTAACCAAAAATCCAATAAAACAATTCCATTTAACCAGCAAGTTGAACCAAACATTATTCCAAAACATGATCATCCTAACTTGTTTCTAAAATCCATTCTAACACCTTAACAAATACAGCAATAATCTAAATCAACAATGAGCGCATAGATCATCTTCCTCTCCTCGCCATGATACCACGGATCACTCTTTAGCTTTACCTGCATAACAGAAAGAGATGCATAAGTATTTCATAAATACTTAGTGAGGCAATCATCCCACCACTGGCTGTACTTTTAAGCACAATCAACCATCATTGAAGGAAAAGAACCAAACAGCCAATAAAAGACATACTAGAATCGCAACTAACTGTCGGTGTCGATCGATACCCACCACTAGTGTCGATCGACACTCGCTGTCGACCCTCGCGGTCGACACCGGCCTCGACACTCCATTTGTGAGTCGTTGTTATCCTCGCGAGACAAAACGTTGGTGTCGAGCGACACCCACCACTGGTGTCGAGCGACACCCACCACTGGTGTCGATTGACACTCGCTGTAGAACCTCGCGGTCGACACCGGCCTCGACACTCCATTCGTGAGTCGCAGTTATCCTCGCGACACGAAACGTTGGTGTCGAGCGACAGCCACCACTGGTGTCGATCGACACTGACTCTCTGCAGACGCTCCAACTGCGTTTCTCACTGGATTTCCTCTCCAAATTACGTCCATGATATGAACGACTTTCCAAGGGGTTTCTCAGGGATCATTCAACACATCAATCAAGCAAAGAAATCAATCAAACAATCATCAAAGCACCCAAAACAATGATCAAACATGCTTAGATAAGCCTTGGTCATGCACTCACCTCTTAAACAAGAAAGAACAGCAACGAACATGGGCTTGCAAGGGTGAAAACAATCTCCACAGAAACCAAACAACATAGAAAACAATGATCAAACATACTTATTCTTCATCGTGACTCGGTTAAGTCCCCGGTAATCGATACACAGCCGAAAACTTCCATCCTTCTTCTTAACGAACAACACCGGTGCTGCCCACGGTGAAACACTAGGACGGATGAAACCCTTACCCAGCAGATCCTCCAACTGCTTCTTCATCTCAGCCATCTTCGCTGGAGTCATCCGGTACAGAGCCTTAGACAACGGCGTTGTCCCGGGCTCTAAGTCATTCGTGAAAGGATCAGATCGAGATGGTGGTAACCCCTTCAACGACTGAAACACATCCTCAAACTTTTGGACCACCCGACTCTTATCTACCGCAACCTCTCTGACCATCTCTAGCATCACAATCGTTGCCAAGTAGGCCTCCCACCCCTTTCGAATCATCTTCTGTACCTGAATCGCCGAAATCACCAAACTCCCCGAAATCAGTCTCACAGCCTGGCAATACAACTTTGGTCTAGGCGGCTCAAAATAGACTCTCCCCTGCTGACAATCCAGATGAACTCTGTGCTGATCAAACCAATCCATGCCCAAAATAACATCATACAGCTCCACCGGATTAATGTACAGATCTGCCGGCATCGATTCTCCCGCAATCTGCACATTCACACCACTAGCCCATCCCTGAACCGCTTACAATGCGCCTCTTACGAATTTAATGGATCTGAAATAGCCAGCCTCTCCTCAGATGTTACCACCCGTTGCGCATTTCAGGGTAATGAAGCTATTCGTAACTCCAAAATCAAACATCACGTGGGACAAGAACCCGCCCACCAACATGGTCCCTACACATACACTTTTCACTAAGACCGCCCACTCCAAAATCACAGGAAAAGAACACGAATTTAAAACAACAGAAGGAAACAACCTGAATCTTAGAATTGAAACTGTGATCCGCTCTCTTGTCTGTGCCACTGGCGGCGCTCCTAACTGAGCCAAAGACGGCTCTCCCAGCTGCAATCCTCGCTGCACCCACTGCCGCACCATTGGCTGCATCACCGGCTGCACCGCTACTACGACCATCTACTACAACTTAGGACACCTCGTCTTGATGTACCCCGTCTCTCTGTAGATATAACAGACATGGCTATCCACCCACGGCTTGTCCTTCTTCGAGCAGCTCGTCACCCTGTGATCCGTGCTCCCACACCTAAAGCACTTCTGATCACCCTGTGGCTGGGCCTTCTTCGGCTGCACTGACGAGGTAGGAATCACCCCGTGACTCCTCAACTTATCCTTGATCCCAGCCGCCACCTCAACCAGCTCCACACGCGATACATAGGCTCGCACCTTGCACCGCATCCTCATGTCGTGGCTAAGACCCATCTGCTCGGGATCTGCTGCACGACCCGAGTACACCAACAGTTGGCTAAACTCCGAGTCGTACTCCCGCCGGGAAAAAATTGGCGTTAAACTCTGCCAAGAAGTCCCCCACACCATCAAGCCCTGCTCCCTCTTGGCCAGCACACTCCTCCACCTCAAATGTGCATCATCGGCCAAGTAGTGAGCCGCTAGGTCCACCCGGTACGCATTCGCGCACCTCATCGACTGGAAGTACCGCTCCAATCGCACCTGCCACTCATCTGCTACAGTCGGATTGGAACCTCGGAAAACAAGGACATCCCAAACCGCTGCAGCTGCTCCAACATTCACAGATAGTACGGCTGCTCAACCACCGCACCTACCCCTCAGGCTATACAACCCCGAGAGGCCGCAAACCAGGCCCAACAGGTTGCACTCCAAGCTCAACAGGAGCCTGCACCAGTAGCACTCCCGGTAACCGCTCTAAGAGCTGCGTCAACAGATACGCAACTAGATCATTTTGACCTTGGGCACCACCTACTAGAACACCCTCAACCGGGTTTCCAGCCACACTAGTACCGTTCCCGGAAGAACCGGCACTCACACTCTTACCACCCAAGGGTCCTTCCTGATGCGACTCGGACTCCCTAACATGCTCGGCCGTAACACTACGGTCCACACTTGTGTTGCTACCTGAGCAACACCACGCCCCCTACCGTGACCACGCCCACGACCACGACCGACAGCTCCACCTCTAACCATCTTCAACACAACAGAAGGCTAAGAACACCACACAAATATCACCAATTCTCACAACTTACCGTGGAATCTCATTATAGGCTCGAGAGGATGATATACGTCTCCATGCTCACACAAATCAATCAGCATGCAAACCATATCATCATTTCTCATCAACGAAATTCACACATCACATCGGAATTACCAATTTACTCCCGTCCTAGAACCGTAAGCGCTCTGATACCAAATTGAAAGAACCCATCCCGTCTTTATATATATATATATATCATGCAAACCGGATTAACCCTTCTTAAACTCAAAGCAGCTAAACCGGCTCTAATCAAATTAAATCAATTAAATCTCAAAATCTCATTAAAGCAAACCATCAACTTTAACCAGCGGAAGACTTAACCAAAAATCCGATAAAACAATTCTATTTAACCAGCAAGTTCAACCAAACATTATTCCAAACCATGATCATCCTAACATATTTCTAAATTCCATTCTAACACCCTAACAAATCCAGCAATAATCTAAATCACCAATGAGCGCCTAGATCATCCTCCTCTCCTCGCCATGATTCCACGGATCACACTTTAGCTTTACCTACATCACAGAAAGAGATGCATAAGTATTTCATAAATACTTAGTGAGGCAATCATCCCACCACTGGCTATACATACAAGCACAATCAACCATCATTCAAGGAAAAGAACCAAATAGCCAATAAAAGACAAACTATAATCGCTGTTGACTATCGATGTCGATCAACACTCTTCCATTTGTGAGTCGCAGTTATCTTCGCGAGACAAAACGTTTGTGTCGAGTGATACCCACCACTGGTGTTCATGATTATTGATCATTTTATCATGAGTACTGAATATTTTTTCATGAGTATTGAACAACTCAGTAACTCTTCTACCATCCAACTTAATAGTTATCATAAAAGTAGCCCAATATGCCATAACAAACATTGGTAAATAGTAATATTATCTTACATTTACACTGTGACGCATTTAACAGAAGCTAATCCCAGTTAACAGAGATACTTGATAACTCAATTACCATATAACTTATCACATAAAAAACATAATATTGGTTACAGTTGATCTTATCAGTAGTATTGATAAATGCTTCGGTAACTTAATTATCGGTAGACACTACTAGTTATATTGGATAACTCCTTTTACCGTCCAACTTAATAGTTAACATAAAACCAGCCCAACAAGCCATAAAAGAATTGGTAAGAAGTAATATTACCTTACAAATACTATCGTAGATTGATGAATGGCGATCTGAAACAATCACTATATCGGGGTCATATGGTATTGCCTCAGCTAACTTTTCCATGAACCAACTCCATGCTTCATCGTTCTCACTGTTAAAGATCCCAAAAGCAATTGGGAAGACCTGGAAATTTGCGTCCTGTGCACTCGCAGCAATGAGGCAGCCTCCATATCTCTGACGGAGATGTGTACCATCTATCACTATCACTTTGCGCATGAATGCAAAGCCCTTAATAGAAGCAGCTATAGCGAAGAATAGATACTTGAAGCGCTCCATGTCCTCATCGTCTTTGTTTGTCTCTAAATAAACGAGGGAGCCCGGGTTACTTTCCAACAGAAGTTTGAAGTAGGGCTGGATCAACGCATATCTTCCCATTGCAGACCCCATCGCATTGTCCACGGCAATTTTCCTAGCTCTCCATTCCTTCCAGTAAGATACATTTAAGCTGAATTCTTGCCTTAGAATCTTCCTTAACTCATTAGGGCGTGGACCTCTACCCACCTTCACATACTTCGTTCGCATTAGCTTGCCTATAACCGTTGTAGAAGCCATCTTGTGGAAGTATCCTCTTGCATCCACGCTGCAAGT